ATTCCTCCACTCTAGCCCAGAAATGTTCACAAGCAAGGCTTTGACTTCCACGCAGCAAAAGGGAACTGCATTCTCTGGGGATGAAATCTGTCAGCTCAAGGAAAAAAAATTAAAGGCACTCATACTGGGATCCCAGTGAAATTTTCCAGGCAGTTTGCCCTAAAGATGATCACAACCAGGGTGACTGCAACCCAGGACTAAAGGGTTTCCTTGTGCATGGAACTTTCAGGCTAAAAGTGGAAGAGTCTCAGGCAAACCAGGGTTGTTGGTCACCCTTCCATAATCAATAAGCCCCACCCACATGTTCAGAGTTCCCACATCAGCTATGATGAATCGATGAAACTTACTCAGATATGATCAAGATTACCAGACATCTGAGTAAAGGCATTAGCTTGAAAGGCTGACACTGAAACAAATATCCAGTAAAAAGCAACTTGCAGAAAACAAAGACTATGTATGGAGAGGGAAAAAAATCACTGATATCCTCAGAGAGATAAGAGAGTATTACAAACACAAAAAGGAACAGGAAATTGGAAATTAAAGGTAAAACAATTAAAGAATTAATCTAGGAGATTTAGTGGTAGGAGTCCCAGTAAGAGAGAACAGAGAACACAGAAGAGATGATTCATTAGTGAAATAATTCAAGAACATTTTTTAAGGTTGAAAGAGTTAAATTTTTCTAAAAGAACCCACTCAGTGAACCAGTATAATAGGTGAAATTAGATACACACATAACAAAATACAGCAACATGAAATTTCAGATTGTTAGGTACATAGAGAAGCTCCTACAAGAAAGAAAGAAAAATCAAGTCACATACACACTAAAAAAGAAATAAGAATGACTAAAGACTTCTAGATATTTACTCAGAAAGTTCTATGACAATGGATAAATGCTTTCAAAATTCTGAAGGAAAATTTTATTAGACACGGAATTGTTTGTTTTTGGTCTAACATTTGGTCAAACACCAAGCCAAAGCATTAATCAAGTGTAGAATTAGAACATTTTTATGCATGCAAGGCTCTAACATTTTCACTTATCCTGTATCCTTTTCTCAGAAAGCTACTGAAGGATGTTCTCTACTAAAACCAGGGAAATAAACCAAGAAAAAAAAGATAACATTAAATACGGAAAACAGATATCAAACATAGAAAAAGGAATTCACTGGACATGAATCCCCAGTGTAATTCTGAAAGGTGATCTCAGGATAAGAGCTATGACTCAGATCTAGAGAGCAACCATCCCAGACTAGAGTGGATCACAAGATTCTGGATGAGATTTCTTCAAGATGAAATTGCTAGTTTAACAAATAAATCTAATTGTCTTGAAAGAAGATTTAAGCAACCAGCAGGTCATTTGGGATTGAAATTCTCTGAAAAGCAAAGAAACAAAAGATAAAAGGTAAAACAAAAAGTTGTCCAGAAAAATAAAAGTGATCATAAAGTGTTTCATGGTTCAGGTGTAAATAGCTCTGATATTAAAAATATCATATACACACTGAACACAAATAAAACCAAAATTACAAATAATTTACATAGGGAGGATAATGGCAAAAGAGAGAGAGCTACGTTTCCAGCTTCCATGTTGGAAATCAATAAAGAATTCTTAAAACTGAAAAATTAAGATGTGAAATCAAGGATGTTATTCAGAGATACAGGGCTCAAAAGCAAGATAACTGACTCTTTTAAAGTTGAAAGGGATTATCTCTGGGGAGATAATCACAGGGTAAGGGTGAAGGAATGGAAAGCAGAGAAATCCTGTTTTAAACCTTGTAGAACTATTTGACTCTTAAAAACATATACAAATATTGATTTTTTTATTTTTAAGTAAACTTTGGTTGAAGTATTATGTAAATAGAGAAAAGTGTACGAATCATAAGTACAAGGTGAACACATCATAAAACAGCACCCAAATCAATAAATAAAACTTTTTTTTATTTGAGACAGGGTCTCACTTTATCGCCCAGGCTGGAGTCCAGTGGCACAATCTTGGCTCACTGCAACCTCCGCCTCCCAGTTTCAAGCAATCCTCCCACCCCAATCTCCTGAGTAGTTGGGATTACAGGCTCCTGCCACCATGCCAGCTAATTTTCATATTTTTAGTAGAGATGGCGTTTCGCCATGCTGGCCAGGCTGGTCTTGAACTGTTGGCCTCAAGTGATCCACCTGCTTCAGCTTCCCAGAGTGCTGGGATTATAGCCACCATGCCTGGCCAAGAAATAAAACTTTACCCAAACCCAGAAAGGCTCTTTTGTATCCTCTACCAGTCACCAATGTCCCACTAAGGATAACCAGTTTCTGACTTAAATTTGTGACATAAATTTTGCAATGTGCATAAATGGAATTATATGTATGTAATATTAATAATTATATACAATAGTAATTGCAAGAATAATACAATAAATACAATACAAAATATATTAGGTCAGTGCAAAAGTATTCTGTTTTGTCATTAAAAGTAATGGCAAAAAACACAATTATTTTTTCACTAACCTAATATTATACTAATATATATTATATACTTTATATATATATACACACATGCACACATGCAAACACATTTTGTTTCTGGCTTCATTTACTAGCACCTTTGTGAGATTCATCCATGTTGTTATGTGTAGCAAGATTTACAGTATTACTCTGCAGCATTTCAGTTAATGAAAACACTGCAATTTATCCTCCCATTTGTAGACCTTTAGGTTAATTCTAATTTGAACATTCTTGTACACATGCATGTATAATTATGATGAAACTTAAAATCACAATGCATCGACATGGAGATATGCAGTTGGTATGAAGAAGCAGCGAATGAAATTGTATATATGCCATGACTGCAACTATTAATAAATTTATCCAACAAAAAGAACTTGCAGCATCTCCTACGTGCCAGGCACTGTTCTAGGTACTGAGTTTCAATGGTGAAGACAATTATGGCTCTGCATTTAAGGGACTTAGAGGAAAGGAGAGAGAGAGGAAGAGAAAGGAAAAGCTAGTGATTACATGCCTGATGAATATTTTAGCGCAGAGCTGCAGTAATCTAACGCAACTTTGTCTGCAATATTTGCATTGAGACTTAAAAAAAGAGAAGGAGGCCGGGTGCAGTGGCTCATGCCTGTAATCCCAGCACTTTCGGAGGCTGAGGCAGGTGGATCACCTGAGATTAGGAGTTCAAGACCAGTCTGACCAACATGGTGAAACGCTGTCTCTACTAAAAATACAAAAATTAGCTGGGTGTGGTGGTGCATGCCTGTAAACCCAGCTACTTGGGAGGCTGAAGCAGGAGAATCGCTTGAACTCAGGAGGCAGAGGTTGCAGTGAACTGAGATCATGCCATTGGTCTCCAGCCTGGGGAACAAGAGTGAAACTCCATCTAAAAAAAGAAAAAAAAAAAAAGAAGAGAAAGAGTTAACTGGGGGACGGAGCAGGGAGGGAACTGGGAGGAAAAGCATGCCAAGGAGGAGGTACAAAACATACCAAAGGCCTGAGGAAGGAAATAACACAGTGTGCACAAAAGATAAGTCCAGTCCAGTGTGCCTGGAAGATAAAGAACGAAGAGGAGGGCGCCACAGGCGTCAGCTGTGTCCATGTCTGTGGTGGCGGAGCAAACAGACAAAACACCTGAGGTCATTGGTGACCTGAACATGAGCAATGTCAGTCGCATGGCAAGAGCAGAACCCAGACTAGGGTGGGTTAGGAAAGAGTAAAGAGATCAATATAAAAACTCATGAAAGAAATACATAAAGATGTAAAGTTGTATACTAAATTAGATGAAATTATGTATATATGTATACATAAACATCTTACATGTAAATTACATGTATAAAATAGACATATCATATATAGAGCTGTTTAAGGAAAATTGAACTAACATGTCCACATTTTTAAAAGATTTACATGAAGGCTAAACATTATTTTTAAGGTGGGATATACATATCAACTTTGTTCTTAACCTTTTCTATGTTATATTAATATCCTACATTTTTTAAATGTGGTACTTTTAATATATCAGAGATCCATTGTATTCTCAGTACTGCAAAATGCTGTGAAATGTAGTTATAGAGATAATAAAGAATGGAGGACCTGAGGAATCCTTATTAACCACCCCCCCACACACACACACACACTTAATGCAAAACATAGTTTGGTGAGGTCAGTCACTCTGATTCAACTCTGGCCCGAATTAGAGACAGTTAAGCATCTTCCAGTGTCCTCATGCCCCAGGATGAAAACAAAATGGAGCTGACTGCCAAAAACAGGAGAAACTTATGTTTATGGAAATGTCTTCCTTCTTCAGGGAACGCATGCTTTTGCCATAAATTCTCTCTGCATATGTATATATACTAAAGGCTGTATTATTTGAAAAACCAAGGCAGAAGTAATTCAAGTAATGAGCAGTATTTTGGGGAAGATTATTCTCTTCCTCATGAATTCTGGTGTCACTTGAACACTAGTTTTCGTGTGGTCCTTAATACTTTCTTTGTTCTATGAATAGGTCTTATCCCCCTTGATTTGGTAACTCCGTTTACTGGATGTATTTATATGTACATTCATGTAGCATGGCAGTGGATGAGGGCACAGACCTTTCTTACACTTGTGTTTGCTTTTGCTCTTCGAACTTGCCTTGGTTTTCAACGTCTCCTTTGGCTGCTGAGCCATCACTCTTACTGAATTTGCAGAAATCTAACACAACCAATATTGCATCAGACTTTGGTCCAACATCCTCTGAGTAACGAATAATAGTTTTGTCTACTTAGAATACTGGCCTAAAATTTGAACCAGCAACTCCTATTAAATTCCTTTTCTGGACTAGTTTCATCTACAGCAGCAATATCTTAAATTAACACTATAATTATAATAACATAAGACTTTGTAATTAATTTCACTCATGCACCCTCTATTCCCAAGAAACAGTGACTCATTATTTTTAATTTGCAAAACACACTTTATTTTTTAATTTTATATTTAATATAATGAGATACAAAATTAATTTATTCAGGGTCTTACAAAACAGAATTACTGAAACAAGACTAGAACACAATTACTAAGTGCCAGGTCCTAGTGGTGTGTGACAGTCACTCTTCTAATTGTTCAAGTCATCCATCCATCCATTTATTCATTCAGTATCATTCTAGGCACTGTGCTAAAAGCAATAAAGGCACACAATTAATGTTCCTGCTTTCAGAGAGGTCACAGTTTGGTTGACAAATACAAGAAAAATGGCTGTTGTTTTAAAAAGAATAATACATGCCATGATTAGAAATATGTTGTGTTTTGCAAACACACCTGTAGCTTCTTAATATTTGAACTGATAAAGGTTTGAGCACTTCCTACAAGATGAAACGGTTGTTTCCCAAAGACAACCATCATGCCGTCCCCAATCTCAATCTGTCAAAGGAAATCTTACAGACATGTAAACAAAAGAAGTATAAATGAAAGCAGATGTAATAGATTAGAGCCCCATCTGATTGGCTTGCTGGGGTTTCCACAAAACTTCTCAGGCTCCTCGTAACACTGCTGAAAACTGATAAAGAAGAGTCGCCATTCTTTCAAGTTCAAGCATCACTATGTCAAACTAGTCAAATTTTTGTTAACTGTGAACATTAACTTAAAACTGAATCAAATCAGACTGATCTAAAAAGGATCCACTTGTGGGTAAGTATGAATATTCTATAAATATACGCCTCAGCAAGACTTCCATGGCTCTGCGGGTTTATCACCAGTGTTATTTTGTTATTATTGTTTCTTCATCTGTATGATATGCAGAATGCTTTCAAAAATGTTGAGTTTTTCACTCTCCTCTTCTCAAAAACCAAACAAATACTTTGAAATGTCACCATGTATCTAAACTGGAGATGCAGTGAGGAAGACGGGGGAGGAGCAGGTTTATAAGTTAAAAAAAGTGAAATGTCTGAGTGAAATTATCATAAATTGACCTCTCTCTCTCTCTCTCTTTTCTCTTCTTCCACACCCCTCACTCAACAAAGAAAAGGAAATATCAGAAAGTCCTCTGGGTTCCCCAAAAGATAATTATCATCTTGCTGAGCCGTGCACCCAGGCTTCTCCATAGCTGATCATGATGAACATTCTAATCTCACCTCCTGTAGGAGCTGTGGAGATGATCCACTTTGACAGTGAAGTGCTTTGACACTGACATTGACATTGGTGAGACAAACACAGCCCCTTCCCTAAAAGGAGTCACAGATGGAAATAAACACTGCTAGGGAAGAGTATGTGAAGACTAGGCAAGTGTGAAAAAGCACAAGTTCGTGATAGCCAGCGTTTACACAATTGTCTTATAATTTGATTCAACAAGTAATGGTTATTATCTACCATATGCCATAAAAAATACTAGACTTAGAGAGACAAGAAATGAATACAAAACTCCTCTCACTCTCTGGAATCTCACTGTATAAGATATAACAAGGAAAAAACAAGCGTGCAGATAGCATGCACTTCACTGTCAAAGTGGATCACCTCCACAGCTCCTAAAAGGGTGAGATCAGAATGCTCATCACAGTCAGGTGTGGAGAAGCCTGGCTGCACGGCTCAGTAAGATGATAATTATCTTTTTGGGAGCCCAAAGGACTTTCAGATATTTCCTTTTCTTTGGCAGGGTGGGAGAAAGACAAAGAGAGAAATCAATTTATAATAATTTTCCTCAGACATTTCACTTAGATTTAACTTACAAACTTGTTCTTCCTCTATCTTCCCCAACTAGATAGATCACTATCTGTCCACCTGTCCCTTGTCCTTGACTCCTCACTCATCTCGTATCTAATAAACCACTTGATTCAACTTGCTTTAATAGCGCCTATTGTAAATGTTTTTTGAATATATCTACCTTTCTGCCTTTCATGCCCAAGCACCTTATTTTTCTACACATCATTTATAAACATTATAATTAACTAATTGCTTACATAATTAGTCATTTACTACCTGTCTCTCAAATTATCCCATCCACCACAATCCCTTCATCTCAGTTGTAATCTCCATAAGGCCAAGAACCATGCCTGCCTTGTTCACTACTGTATACTCAATACCTACAGCAGGTCTGACACCGAGTACAGTATGTGCTCAGTGAGAGAGGAAGGTAAGGTAAGGGAAAAGGAGTCAGTCAGTCCATCAAAATGCAGTAATAATCAGCTCTTCTATTTAACTTTGTTATGATTAAGTAAAAACAAAATATAGATTAAAATGTATACACACATTTTTCTAATTCACTATAAAACAATATCATTATTTCACTGAAATAATCCATTTAAACAGTCAACTCAAAGTCAAATATTTGGGCTTACTGTATATTATAATGTTCTATTTAAAGATTAAAAATGGAACTGCATATCCCTTCCAGAGTTGATACAACGCAGCAATAGAACCCAAGCGTTCACATTTTGAGTCTTCTAATTAGTCTGCTGGTCTGTAAACACATATGGCTTGTGCAATTGAATTTGCTGTGCTCATATGGTGGTCCTGCCAAGCCCAGCACATGACTGAGGGTACCTTCTGGACATGTGTACGAATGAATCCAATCTTAGCATCTGTGATATGCATTATTTAAGTCATCAGTTTATCCTTATGTTTATTTCATTTACAAGGAAATACAATAACCTCTGGTGTCCACTTTTGGTTTGGGAGCATGGCCTCTGCTTGTCAAGACTGCCTCATAACATGATCATAAGGCATATTGGACTGGTGCCAACACTTCCCAGTTCTATGCACTTTGAAACAGAACTCAATTTCAACAATCCTTCTAAGGCAGGAGGGGCCTCCTGCTCACCTTTCAAAGAGTAGAACATCTGCTATGATTAGGTAAACAGTAAATGCTTATACCCTGCCTGCCTGCTGCAGGAGGCTGCATATCACAAAACCCTAAATGCCACTTGAGGATTCGGCTTCCAGACTGGATACTCTTTATCCTGACCAACTCGGCAATTTCCACCAAGCAAAGTCGACCTTATTATGGTTCATTCCATCTGCCTGTAGTCTTGGAAAAGGTTAAAATTTTGCAGAAGCTTAATGAACCATGCCCTGCCTTAAGAAATACAGATCTGTTATTGCTTTGCACAGAAATGAAACAAGTGGAATAAAAACAGGAGTGGATCATATGAGTCACACACAGGATGTGGGTGAAGAGCTTAAATTTAATTAAGAACCTAAGTACTAATTCACTGACCTGAAAGCCAGGAAATTTGAGGTCAAGGTCCTGATCTTCACCAATGAGCTTCATGAACTTGAGCAGATCATGAAATCCGGGCCTCTGTTTCCTCACCTCTAAAATGGGAATAATAATTTCTGCCCTACTGTCTTTCCAGGACAGATACAAGGATAAGATGATAAGTGTAAAAGCCCTCCAAAACTCTAAAGAAAACTGTAAACTGAAAGATATTCCAAGACAGAGAAAAAACCCCAAATCACTCCTACCAGGAACTAGAAGGGAGCAGTGGGTCCTTTGCAACAAATCTATTTTTCTAGGCAAACGTTAAATTTAGCATTTCTGGAGTATGCTTCTGTGTTTCAAGAACAAGTTTTTAGAATTAGAAAGGAAAAAAGAGGAAAGAGCTTATGATTCTAATTTTCCTACATTAACTTGGATTCATTCATTCACATGTCTCCGCACTCACTAAGAAGCAGTCGTTCAGTTCCACAACTGTTTCTTGAGCACATGCGATGCTCTAATCACTGTGCTAGCCACTGTGGATACCACACAGATAAAGGCAGTCCTGAAATTCCTGCCCTGTGGATCTTACATCAGAGCATGTTTTGCAATCAAAGAATGAACCAGATGTATTTTCCACCATGAAGTCGTTATAAACTAGTAGCAAAGGAAGTGGCCCTAAAATAAAATCGAATCATTTTCAGAGGACTCTGCTTTTAGGAGCAAGGGGAAGAGACAAATGAGTCACATCAATTCTTTCTCGGATCAGCACACATCATCAACATCAGCACACATTTAGAAATGCTTTAATAGCACCCATCATAAACCCTCCCTTAAGCCTATTCCCTTTTGCAGCTAAACTTTTTACACTTGCCTGTGATCACTGCCTCCATTTCCTCATCACACTTGCCCCTCCTCAAACTGATTTGGCTGAGATTCTCTCCCTACCACCTTCTTGAGGCTCTTGGCCAGGACCCCAGTGTCCTTCACTTTGCCAAATTAACCAGTGACATCTCTGTTCTTATCTCATTATCATTTGATATAATTGACCACTCTCTCTTTCTAAAAAGGAGATTCATTTATTTTTGTTAACTTCCCTAACACCAAGATCTCTTAATTTTCTGTCTGGCCACTGCAGTCTTGTTTGCTGGTTTCTCATCCTCTTGTAAACCGTTAATGCAGGCATGGCCCTGGTGTCTGTCTTGGGCTTACTTCTCTACCTAAATGTGCTTCTTGAGTGACTTCATCCTGCGTCATGGCTGTAATTATCTGGTTACACTATATTTGGTTCTCTCTCTCTCTCTCTCTTTCTCTCTCGATCTGTAACTACATCTAGTGATTACATATTACCAACACTGACTTTCTTCTGTACTCCAGAACTATGTATTCAACATCCAACTGCTATTGACATTCCTACTTACTTTTCTTTTTCTTTTGTTCTTTTTTTTTTGAGACAGGGTCTTACTCTGTCACTCAGGCTGGAGTGCAGTGGCTCAATCATGGCTCACTGCAGCCTTGACCTCTAGGCTCCAGTGATCCTCCCACCTCAGCCTCTTGAGTAGCTAGAACAACAGGCACACACCACCAAGCCCAGTTAATTTCTATTTTATTTTTATTTTTGTAGAGACGGAGAGTCTCACTATGTTACCAGGCTGGTCTAGAACTCCAGTTCAAGTGATACTTTTGCCTTGGCCTCCCAATGTATTGGGATTACAAGCGTGAGCCATGGCACTCAGATGAGTTACAATCATATCAAATTTAACATGGCCAAAATAGACCTCCTGACCACCACCCCCACCCCCGCAACTGAAGCCTGCACCTGCCCTAGGTTCACTGTCTTGATATTCAAGCCAGAAACTAGGATTTTCTTTGCTTCTCCTCTTGTGCTTTCTCCTCCCACCCAGCCCATCAGCGAGTCTTATTGACTCTATCCCCAAAAACCCATCCCAAATCTGCCCGAGTGCTCCATCTTCATTGACCTCATCTCCCCCTCCTGCTTCTCTCCAGCCACACCAGCCTTTGTTCCATTCTCAAATGTGCAGAGTCATCTCCACCGTTGCACAGGCTTTGCACAGGCTTCCTCTGTGTGTAATGTTCATCCCTCTCCTTTTTGCCTGGCTGCTTCCTTATCACTCAGATCTCAAATTAAATGTCACCTCTTTAGAGGAGTCTTCATGAACACCCAATCAAAAGTTGTCACCCAGATATTTTTTGTCTATCACTCTATTTTAACATTATAAAATATTTATTTGCTTACTATTACAAAATATTATATATCTTAAATAATATAAAATTATTAAATATTAAGCCAGACATGGTGGCTCACGCCTATAATCCCAGCACTTTGCAAGGTCAAGGCAAATGGATCACCTGAGGTCAGGAGTTCGAGACCAGGCTGGCCAACATGGAGAAACCCCATCTCTACCAAAAACGTGAAAATTAGCCAGGCATGGTGGTGCATGCCTGTAATCCCAGCTACTTGGGAGGCTGAGGAAAAAGAATTGCTTGAACCCAGGAGGTGGAAGTTGCAGTAAGCCAAGATCATGCCATTGCACTCCAGCCTGGACAACAGAGTGAGAGTCTGTCTCAAAAAATAGTAATAATAGTTAATAAATATTTGATAGTCACCCTTCTATTTCTTATATCAACTACTTTGTCTATCACCCGTCCCCTTTCACTAGAGTTTAAGCTCCAAAAGAAGGGACATTGCTGGCTTTGTCCACAGCTGTATCCCTGGTGCTAAGAGAGAACATAGAACAAACTCATATACATTTGTTGAGCAAATTAAAAAATCTGGAACACAGACCCACCTTAAGAGAGTTGAGTCCTCCAGGTTCTAGTTACATGAGTTTACTTTCTGTGGCTGCCTCTCAAACCTGACATACTTTGACACTGATTTTGGCAACTGGTGGTGCCATTTTAATTTAACTCATTCGACTCTGCTTGCAGAACTTCTGTTTCCTATTTTAATATTCAATAAAGCTGGTAGATAATGAGGCAGGAAAAAAACCATAAAGGTAGTAAAAATGTCCATTATTTTGCTTCCAGGCTGTGAGTCTTTGGGGAGAGTCACAACAAAAATACTTATTAAAACAAAGATAAAATGTACAGATATTTGGATGAATCCTAATATAATAGCATTCTGGTTTCCTGTGTTGATATTTTGTTTCATTAACTTCAAGATTTTGAGTTTATGGCTGCATCTTTAAAAGATCTCTTTTCTCATGGAGAGTTCATTTTAATCAATATATCGAACAATGTCTCAGACGCTGTGCAGAGCAGAAGGGCACATTCCTGTGTCCTGATCCACCAATCCTGTGGCCCTGAGAGACACTGCTCTTCTTCATCACATTTTGTCCATGAAGCCCAAATAAGGGCTCAGGATCCTTTTCTCAGTACAAGTGACCTGGAGAGCCATTACCAATGATCATCACTTGCAAGCAAAATGATACCTTATCTTGAAGTAAATGAAACAAAATATCAATACATGAAACCAGGATGCTATTTTATTAGGATTCATCCAAATAGCTGTACATTTTATCTTTGTCTTAAGAGATTTTTTGTGTGTGTGACTCTCCCCAAAGACTCAAAGCCTAGAAACAAAATACTGGACATTTTCACTTCCTTCATGTTTTATTTCCACCTCATTATCTACCAGCATTATTGAATGATGAAATGAAGACTGGATTTAATGAATCTATATTTAACAAAGTGAACATTATATTTAAGATTAGTTTTGCTCTGGAGTCTTAAGGCCTTGAAGAGGCTTGGTAAATAACCTGTGTTGATTTATCAGAAACCTCTGACCAACAGAAAACTAACCTTGCAGCCTTGCTGATCAGCAGACTGTGTTCTGGCCTACTCCTTACCAGGAAGACACAATTATGCTGCTGGTATCTCTCCGTCCCAGCTGGTTCACTTTGGAAGGCCACTCACATCTGCATGTTTCATAACACGTTTGTTATCCTCGAGCTACATGCAAGATGGGGAAAAGGAGCAGACACGTGAGTGGGAGTCATGGCTCTGCCACTTACAGGTGATGGGCCTTGATTCACTTCTTGGAGACTTTTTTTTCGTCTTCAGCAAGAGAAAAAGAGCACCTACCTTGCAGGGCTACTGTGAGGATTAGAGGTAACATTTGGAAAGTGTCTGTCATATAGTAGGTATTCACTGAATTGTATAAATGTTTAAGCTAGAATGAATTCAGCATATACAACTATAAAAAGAAGCAGAAACACCAAATTGCCTCATTCATTATCAATGTTGTGTGGTAAGATCAGTCTCTGGGGGCCACAAATGTCCACAGACTTCATGAGAACATGTGTGACTTTTTTAAAAAAGGAGGGGGAAGGGGAGAAGAACATCACCGGGAAATGCGACTGGAGTGAGTGTGGCAGAAAATTCAGAGATGAAACCAAACCCTGAAATGCCACCCTCCATTTAAGTAATTGGTGTATCTGTGCTGTTCTCAGTCAATTCTAAGTAAAATAATGCTACAAATCAGATGCGGTGATGGGAGGGTAGGTGCTGATTTTAGCTTCCACTTTGTTTTTGGCTATTACGAGCCACAAGAAATGGTGAGCCCCAGCCTCTCTTCCAAATTGTAGTATGTGGAAGCAGCAGAGCATGCTGACCCTATTTCTACCTCCTAGATACCCGCCTCAGCCACCACGACAAAACGTAAAGATAGATCTTGCTTCCCAGGGAACCCGTGGGAAAACACTCTGATTAGAGGCAAAGTAGCATTGTAATCAGCCTTCCATCATGGGCAGGGGATGCTGTTTTGGCAGGAGAGGAGATCTCAGTGCAATGTAAAAACATCAAGCTGTGTCACCTATAGCCACAAGCCCCTAACAGTCCAACGCCCCCGTTATGTAAACACACATCCACTCTTACCCAGAGTGCTCCAGTGTTGTTAAGGGTCTTCTCCATCTACAGGAACCCAGGCTATTGTACATTCTCAGGAGAAACATGTTTTTAACAGAAAATAAGTCAAGATAATGAAAGAATTCTATCCATCTCTCTTGAAAATGTACCAGGGGAATAAGCTCCCAGGACAGTTATTGATTGTACATGATGAATATAAATCATCACAGAGGCTGTGATTTAGCTGTGATGCCCATCGTCATGGAAAGGAAGCTCATGAGACTCAGCCAATGACCTGAGTTTCAAGTGGAAACTTCTCTACTCTTCTGCCTAAGAGCCTGTTCTTGCTCTGTAACAGGCTGCACATTGCTGAGAGTGACTACAACAAAGAACACATTCTGATTTAGAATCATTGGACTCTGATGGCATTGGCAGATGGTGAGGCTGTTACAGGTTAGCAAGAGTATTGCAGGTCAAGCCCAAGCCCCAGGGGTCAGCCAAAAAAGAGAACGTGAATCATATTTCTCTTTTACTTCCCCATGGCTCCGAGAAGAGCAGTCTATCGTTTTTCTGAATGTTATACTCACTTGCTTGACCTAAGAATGTAAAAATAAAAAGCTAAGTGGGAGAGTCTTATACAGTCATTGATTTTTTTGGCAGCATCCATGACCTCAGGCTTAAAAAATGTTTTTCAAATCACAGAGCCATAGATCTGTTAGAAACCTAGTGTAGAGGTTTATCCTACAGAGAATGCACGCTAACCCTCATGCCTGGTTTTATAGCCTCTTTATTGGAAGATATTCTACAAATGCCTTCATGGTATATGCTAAGTCTTAATGGCTTCTCAATCAAAAGGCACTGCATCATGTCTAATTTAAGCCTTCCTTGCCTTAATCAAATAAGAAAAAGAAAATCCAATAACAGCTGCAGTAGCAAGAAAAAGAACAATTGGCCAGGTTATAATGTGCAGACATTTTAGAAATTTTTTTCTGATCAAACCCATATGTTATGGACTGCATGCAGCATGTTCCCTTAGTATCTTCTTACTAAGAAACTAAGAAACTTCCAGTGAGAGTTTCTCAGCTTTTCTTTGTGTATTCATCACCTTGACCTTGACAATTGTGAGGAGTATTAGTCAGGTATTTTGTACTATGTCCCCTAACCTGGGCTGATTTGTTGCTTTTCTTATAAGGCTGAGGTTACAGGTCTTAAGAAAGAATACCACGAAGGTGAAGTACTCTTCCGATCACATCATTTCTGGAGTACACAGCAGCCACATTGTATCACCAATTACCTTCACCTCACCTTAACCTTGATCACCTGGTTAAGGTGATGTTCACCTGGTTTCTTCATTATAAAGTTTCCATTTTTTCCTTTCCATATGCTATTCTTTGAAAGCAAGTCACTGTGTCTAGCCCACACTCAAATCCACTCGCTACCTCCTACAACACACATACTTCTTTTTAACAATCTAATTAGTTTGGCTGTAATTTTGGGGGGACTTTCCTGAATTTCCCATTTCTTTTCCCAAAGTTTCTCTCTAAAAGGAATATAATACTTTCATATGGTGTCTTAGTCAGTTCAGGTTGCTATTACAAAGTGCTACAAACATATGACTTATTGACAACAGAAAAGTATTCCTTAGAGTTCTGGGGGCTAGAAGCCTGAGATCAGGGTGTCAGCAGGGGTGGTTTCTACTGAGGCCACTCATCCAGGTTGCAGACTATTGTCTTCTCATAGTATTCTCACATGATGGCAAGAGAGCAAAAGAGCTCTTAGGGTTTCTTTTGTAAGGGCAGTAATTCCTTTCATGAGGGCTCCACCCTCATGACCTACTCACCTCCCAAAGGTCTCACTTCCTAATACCATCATACTGCAGATTAGGACAGCAACCTACTAATTTTGGTGGGGACACAAACATTCAATCCATAACAGGGATTTGATCAACAGAATAAATATTTTTATTTTTAAATTTTTTAATTGCTATATTATAGATGCCCATAGTTTGGAGTACAAGTGATATTGTGATACATGTATACAATGTGTAATAATCAAATCAGGGTAACTGGTATATCCACCTCAAAAATGTTTTTCTTTGTGTTGGAATGATTACAATTCTCTTAGCTATTTTGAAATATACAATAAATTATGATCAACTGTAATTTTCCTACTATACCACTGAGTACTAGAATTTATTCCTTCTATCTATTTTCATGCCCATTAACCAAGTTTTCTTCTTCCCCTTGCCTCTTTCCTTTCCCAGCCTCTGGTAACCACCATTCCATCGCTACTGCCACAAGATGCACTTTTTTAGCTCCCACATCTGAGTGGAACATGCAATATTTATCTTTCTGTGCCTAGCTTATTTCATTTAACATAACAACCTCCAGTTCTGTCCATTTTGCTGGAAATGACAGGATTTCATTCTTTTAATGGCTCAATAATATTCCATTGCATATATACGCCACATTTTCTTTATCTATTCATCCACTGATGGGGACTTAGGTTGACTCTATGTATTGGCTATTGTGAATAGTGATGCAGTAAACATAGGAGTGAAGATATCTCTTCAATACGCTGATTTCTTTTCTTTTGGATATATGCCCAGCAGTCGGATTGCTGGATCATATGGTAGTTCTGTTTTTCATTTTTTGAGGAATCTTCGTACTATTTTCCATAGTGGCTGCACTAATTTACATTCCCACTGACAGCATAAGAGTGTTTCTCTTCTTCCACATCCTCACCAACATTTGTTATTTCTTGACTTTTTATAATAGTCATTCTGACTGGGGTGAGATAATATCTCATTGTGGTTTTGATTTGCATTTCTCTGATGATTAGTGATGTTGAGCATTTTTTCATAAACTTGTTGGCCATTTGTATCTCTTTGAGAAATGTCTAGTCAGGGCTTTTGCCCATTTTCTAAGTTGAATTATTTGGGTTTTTGCTGTTGAATTGTTTGAGTTTTTTTTATATTCTATTACTAATCCCTTATAGGACAGAAAATTTGCAAATAATTTCTCCCATTTTGTAGGTTGTCTCTTCACTTTGTTCATTGTTTCCTGTGCAGAAGCTTTTTCATAATACACATTTTTTAAACTTCTGCATATTATACCCTGGTCAATTGTTCTTTTTCTTCTTAGGCTACTTACTCTATTATTCTTTTGTAGCTTAGAAATTCACATGGTAAATATTTTCTGATTTCTTTTTCTCAAAGTATATTCTAAAACCTATGAAAAAAGTGATCTTAGATCTTTTAAAAAACGTTTCAGAAAAAAATAGGAGACAAAGGCTAATGAAATACAAGATGTATCAATGAAGTATTTTTAGCAACACTGACACAATGGAAAAATTAAAATGGAATTTAAAGTTCCCAATGAGTGGGTTGAAGCAGGGGCACAAACATACTGAAGTATTGGTGTAGGTGGCAGAATAGTCACCCAGAGAGAAATGCAGCATGTTAAGTCCTGTTTCCAAAGGAGTCTCCTCTCTACAGTTGTGTAAGTGAAAAGAAACATCAGATGTTATCGTGATTGGATTGGCATTGGGTAGACGGTTGGAACTGAATGGCCACTAAGATCAATTAATCTAATCTTAATAATTTCATCATTCTACAGCTTTCAAATTAATTTGAAATTTACCAGATTCATGCTTTTGTTAATACTGTGTCCATCTAGCCCAGACTAATGTTTCCTGGTATTTACGCTGCAGAACGCAAAGACTGGCCACGAGCAGCACTTTAAGGAGGCTGAGGCGGGCGGATCACCTGAGGTGAGGAGTTTGACATCAGCCTGGCCAACATGGCAAAACCCTATCTCTACTAAAAATACAAAAATTAGCTGGGCATGGTGGGTGCATGCCTGTAATCTCAGCTACTTGAGAAGCTGAGGCAGGAGCATTGCTTGGTATGTGGAGGTTGCAGTGAGCTGAGATTGTTCCACTGCACTCTAGCCTGGGTGACAGAGCACAACTCCATCAAAAAAAAAAAAAAAAACCCGAAGACCATGAGAACTTCCTCAACCAAAGGATTCTGGGATAAACATGTTTTTGGCCATTTAGCATACTATAGATTAGGGATCAGCAAACTTGTTCTGTGAAGGACCAGATAGCAAATATTTTAGGCTTTGTGGGTTATATAGGGTCTCTTTCTTCCTCTTCTCCTCTTCCTCTTCACCCTCCCTCTTCTACCCTTCCTCCTCCTCCTTCCACTTCCTCAACAACCCTTTAAAAATGTAATAAATACTCTTAGCTTGGAGGTTGAACAAAAACAGGCTGTGGGTCATATTTGACCCAGGGACTGGTAGTTTGCCGACTCCTGAATATTCAAAATGTGTATTAGCACAGTAAAGACTCTGAAAAAATCTGTAAGATAAAAATGTTTAACCAGATTTATCCCAAACTCATTTGACCAGGAAACTCTTTTTTCTCTTACCCATTTCATATCTCACATAACTAGTTTTCTATAGAAAATACTTCGGAAAATTCTGACCTTTTTTTATATATAGAGAGAGTAATAAAGTTTATCCCTACTATATAAAGAAACACTCTAAATAGCTTTAAGAAATAAATAGAAAAAGTATCAGAGACTATTTCTGTGACCTTGGAGTATGAATATATTCCCAAGCAAGATTCCAAAAGAATTAAGAATGAAGCAAAAATTATGGATTTGACTATATCAATATTAAGAATTTCTGTTCAACAAATAGCATGACAGAAAAACCTAATTGCATAAAAGATTGGAAGAAAATATTTGCAATGTCAAAAACCATAAAAGATTAATATTTCAAGGAAATTTTGTCAATTAATAAGAAAAAGATTGGGACTCTAAAAAAATACAGGCAAATGATGTCAACAAGCAAAGTATAAAAGGGAAAATCAGAATAGCTACAAATAAGTTTAACAGTGTTAGCAATTATAGGAATGCAAATTGAAAGAAAAATGAAATAACCCTTTATACTAGGCATAGGTTGGCAAATATTTTTAAAATTAGATAATAGCCAATGTTTGTAAGCATGTAGGAAAATGATTTTTCTCATGCACTGCTTGTGAAAGACCAGTGCAACCACTCTGGAGGAAAAAATTGGCAAAACTTAGTGAAATTCAGTACATCTAAGCTCATTCTTCAGTATAAGCCCAGATAAAAGTATCCATAGATCCAAAGATGAAAGTACAAAGAAGTTCATCACAGCGTTTTATTTCGTGGTAGGGAAGGAGTACTGGGAGGCAAAATAGCTGCTCATCACTAAGGGGATGGATGAATAAAATACAGCTGAAGCTCATATGGAATACTATACAGCAGCCAGAACCAATAAACTGGTAGTA